TAATAGGTACCTAGAGTAATATAGAAAGATACAGAACAATAATACAATCTAATGGTCACACTTTTTTAATAAAATAAAAATGCAGTAGGTATAAACACATCAATAATTTCTCATTTAAATATTCATATACACCTATTATTTTATAAACATTGTGAATGGAATTGGCCTAAAACTGAGGGCCATGTGAAACTCTAGGATGGATCAACACTTTATTAAAGTTAACTCGATATGCTTTGCTTATGATTGTTACTAGTTTGCTATTATTGCAGAAGTTTTGTATTGAGCAATTTATAGGCTAGATATATTTTTTATTTTAAATTTTAATTAAGTAAAAATATACAAAAAATATATTTGAAATAAAATAAACATGTTCAATTAATGCATATTGTAACAGACTATTTTTTGTATTGCAAATAAACTGTGGGATTATTGAAGTAATAAAACATTATCTTAATCCTGCTACTGTCTAGGTTTGCTAGCTTTTAATTCGTTTTTCTTTTTAATTTTTATAATTTTTTTGCTTGTCGAGGGTTTGGATAACTTTGTAGATTTAAAATGAGTTTTCTTCAAGTGTACCCTTAAATTGCTCTTCTTAGAAAATGTTTTTTTACAAACACTACATTCAAATAACTGTTCTCCAGTATGTATCCTCAAGTGGTCTCTGAGTCTTCTAGCCCCTTTTAAATTTTCATTACATATTTTGCATTGAAATTCTTTCTTTTTTCCTTGCTTGGTTTTCATTAATCCATGCATTGCACGATGCCTCTGGTACATTTCTTTTGATGTTATACATTTTCCACAAGTAGGGCAAAGAACTGAACCCCTTTGCTCAAAGTGAAGTTCAATATGCTTCTTTTTTAGCTGCTGGCTAATAAAATCTAAAAGTTAAAAAGGATCAAATGTGTACAACTTTAATTTGATTTAAATATTCTTACCTTTGCCACATAACTCACAAACATATTTAGAAAATTCCTCTTCATCTTTTTTATTAGGTTTTTCTGCGTTTTCTTGGAAATGTGAAACTAAATGTAACTGAAAACTACCTACATTGGGAAAGATTTCTTGGCACTGAATACATCTATAATTTTTCTTTGTTCTGCAATCATAACTATTTTTCATATGCTCAACAAGCTCATCTCTGGACCTGAAAACATCTTCACAGGCTCTACAAGCATGAACTGAATTACTTTTGGCCAGCCTTTCTTCAGTGGCATCGTAATCTTCAGTTACAAAGCTGTTAGTAAGCAATAAATCAATGTCTTCTGCGTCATCATTTTCAATTACAGTGATAATTGTTTCCTCCGTATCCATTATTATTACTCTCAAAAATTGATTCCTGCAATAATTTTTTCCTTTTTTTCAGCAAAATTATAAATATGTCGGAAATTTGACATCAATGTTCTCTTGATTTTTGACAGACTCATTTGTCAATTTTGTCATTTTCCACTTGTTAGTTATTTCAGTAGTACCACATCATTTAATTTTTAGGATCGGGTCGTCAAAAAAGATCTAAATTTGAAATTTTAATAATTATTCAAGCTTTTACTGCAATGAGAATTTTAATGGAATTAATATATAGTTTTTTGTTAGCGAATGCATGTATACTTTTTACATATTTATTTTGATTTGTTCCTGGTTCCTGGGCAGTGCTATTTTTTTTGTAACATTTTAAGTTGTCAATACAAAAACCGCGCGCTTGCCCCTCGCTTGTAGATGTAAATAAAATTATCATAATTTATAATAAACATAATAATTTATTATAGGTGGTAAAATATGTACAACAAATCAAAATAAAATAACACCCGTATTTAATATGTAATTATGGATAGTTCGAAGACCCAAAATCATATATTTTTTGTGAAGGACCAATTAACAAAATAAATAACCTATCAAGAATTCATATAAACATTATTTTAATAAATAATTGCATTGTAATAGTAAAAGTAATATCATTTTTAAAATATAATAAAATGAAGCTATCATTTTAATTTCAGGTATTCCATCTTTCTATTTAAATTTCCTGGATGTCGATGTATTTATTATTAACACAATCTACACTGAGAAAAATATATCATTCTTTTGACTTTCAAGTTTAATCATTTAGGTAACATAATTTTATCAAAATAATTTCTATACAAAAAAGTGATCTTACACATTGATATTATGTATTCTCAAGATGTAGAGTGTGCGAAAATAAAAATATTTAATTTATTCAAAATGCCAAGCATTTACACTTACACTACTTCTGAAAAGGTACAAATATTGAAATGGTATTTTGGGGGCAATTCTGCCGTTGAAACAATAAAGTTATTTAAAGAGGCTTATTTTGATGATAAACCAATTCCAACAGTAAAAACGATCAGTACCATTATCGGGTTTGACCATTATGGGCATAGATTACTAATGTATTATATGGGTGTCACAGCACTTTGTAAAAAGTGTTGCCTATCAACCCGACCTGAGCGGCAAAGTTACCTTGAGAGAGAGAACTGTACGGAACATTTTAAAGAGAAATAGATATAAATATAGCAAATTCCAAACCACAGAAGACATTTCTCCCAACGATCATGTTAAGAGGATGAAGTTTTGTGAAATTATGAAGGAAAAAACTAATAAAAGCAATATAGGTTTTTGCAAAATATATTATTTACTAATGAATCTTCCTTTACAATTCACAGAGAACACAATCCATCCTCCATTGGTCTCGAAAAAGTAAACCTTTTAGAATTTCTATTAAAAGACTGAAAGTATATGGATAGCAATTTTAGGTGAGAAAGAACATTTTGTGGGTCCGTTTTTTAATGAAAAGAGTTTGAACGCCGAACAATATTTATAACTACTCTAAAATCAAATTATACCGACAGTTCGAAATATTCCAGTCAAATTTAAGATATGAGGTTTCAACAAGTGCGTATCACATAATGCACAAGAGGTGACTGATTACTCGGAAACAATTTTTTTCTACACCCACATGGATATTATATAGCTCATCTATATACGCACAGATTACAAAACGAAAAGTATACTATTGCCTTCAACCTGAACGAATATATTTCATAGCCATCTAGATAGGGAGATCACTGCAAAAAAATGAAATCCACCGTTCATAAGTGATAATTCTGTCAAACTAATTGTCAGTATATTTTTTAGTTATTATGATATTAAACATTCTTGGGTAGAATCAATAAATAGTAGCATTTGTTTTTTTATTTCGTCGTCTATATAATTATAAATAATTTGTTAATTTAAATAAAACTATAAGAAGTCAATTTAATTACGAGTATTATTAAAGCACCAAAAATAGGTTAGCGTTCTTGCCTTCCACGCGGAAGATTGGAGTTCGATTCTCGAATGGGGAAAAATAAAATAAACTTTTTTCTTTTTTTATTTCGTTTTTTATTTTAAAAATTATTAAAAGTCATAATTATTTTAAAATTAGTTATTTTGTCTTAATAACCTAAAATATTTTTTTTTATTTATTAGTGGATCGTAGAAAAAATATACTGTACAACTCGAGTGGATTGTCCACATCGCACTCAAACGATTGAGCGCTCCGCCTACGGCGTCGTGCTCAAATTTCGTCTTCGTGCGTTATGACCATCATATCCACTCTTGTTGCACAAACTTCTAATCCTGCTCGTTTAATTAGCACGACAGATACGATAAAATGGCCCCATCGGTCACCTGATTTATCGCCTTTAGATTTTTATGTCTATGTTGAAATTAAATTTATATCAAGATGAATTCAAACGAGCAAATAATTTAGGTGAATTGCGAGAAAACATTTTTCATCTTTGTGTGCAAAAGTGGCCACAGATCAATTGAATGAGATGAGAACAGCATTGTATATGATCGATTTGGTTTTGTTTGGCAGAAGCTGGCGATTTGTTTGAACATTTAATTAATTAATTATTTTTTAGAATCGTTTTTTTCTCTTTATTTATATTTATTAATTTTATAAATATATTTTATATATAGTTTTAGTACTTTTTGTATCTTTTATTGGTTTGTCGGTCAATGTAACTTCTTATATTTATTTTAAACTGAGCTGCTATGGATGGTGTGAATTTAGGCTGTGTTCTCTTGCTGGCAGGTCACTATTGATGTCATGGACTCTTACCAGGATTACAAAATGTAAATTGTAATACATGCTAAACATTACGTGGAATAACTACTTCAATATTGTAAATAAAGTAGTTTGATTATAAGTTTACTATTTTGCCTTTTTATATTTTATGTTTATTTAACAAAATATATTTTTTTTAGATTAATTTTGAAAATTAGGAAACAAATCTCAAAAATTCCCCTACAAAAGTGAAAACAAAGACTTAAAAAATTGAAAAAAAAAGCCTGTGTCGTCGGGATTCGAACCCAGACATATTTGTTCTGCTCACAAATGCCCTTACTGCTAGATCATGACGATATTGAATGTCGAGATTTCTAGACAGCAATTTGATGTACCAGTTCGGGCCATATATCCTCGTCTGCATGAGTTAAGTTTCCAATGTTCGTTAAACGACGTAAACCTGAGTATGAAATTGTGAATTTAATTATCTGAAATAAAAGTAATGCTTCACAAAAATCGTTTTACATCACGTGTATGAGATGTTTGATATAGCTTAAAATAATTTATATTATGCTGTAAACTAAAAATACTGAATTGTTACTAATAGCAATACAATTTGGAATTGTTATTTTTCTATTTTTTAATAAAAATTAAATTTTAAATTCATGTTTTTTTTTTCACCAAAAATATAGATTTAAAATAATTATTGTAACTTTTTGACTTTCTTTTCCTTTTTTATGCTGCAATTTACAGGCAATATACAATTATTCAATTTACAAATATGTTAAAGTAACTTATAATATTTATGCTGTATTTTATGAAGCTTTGTCAATTTAACTAGAAGAGATTTAATATGGATAACACAAAATAGTCGACAAAAAATGCATTTTTTAAAATGTTTTTATTAAATTCTGGAATTTTTAGAAAAACGCAAATTTAAACGTTTTATTTTATAGGCGTACAGTTAAGCCGCCATTAGACTTTTATCATTAAATGAAACGTACTAGATCTAGGGACCCTAGAATCCCCTCTCTGCCAAATGTAGGTGCCGACACTGTGTAATAAAATAAATTAAGCAGCGAGATTTTGTTGTATGATCAATTATTACGATTATTTAAACTTAATATTAGCAAAAATAATAAAAATAAATGTTTATTTCCATCAAAATACTATTTAGGAAGAAGATTAAAATCCGAAATTCGAAATCGGCGCGCGGTTGGTGTTGATGACACGGAATGAAAAGGAAACGGGAAGTGTCAATTTCACCAGTGCTGTCGACTGAGTTGGCTTGGGTTTTGTCTAAAATATAATGAAGTGATTTTTAAAGCAAATCTTTCATTTTTACAGCAACCAAAATGGAATTAGAAACCGTGAATCTGAATCGGATTTGCAGGACGTGCAAATGCGTTAGTCCTCATATGCGATCCTTGTTTGAGGGTTATGAAAATCCTCATCAGAGTCCCCGTATTGACGAGATGCTAATGGCCTGTGCTTCAATTCAGGTAAATGAATATAACGCCTACAATGAAAATATTTACAAATTTTAATATCGGTGATTTCCTCTTGTTAGGTGATCTGTGGAGACGGTTTGCCGACTCTAATATGCCAAATATGTATCGAACAATTAAAGAATGCCTATATATTCAAGAGACAAGCCGAAAAAGTGGATATAGGTTTAAGAGAGTACGCAAAAAATTTAAAAGTTAATGAAATTAAACAGGAATTGCAAAATTCTGAATTTATGGGTAAGTTTTTTTATGAAAAATAAATAAAATTATTTTTATTTTGAAATATACTATTATTGCTAATTAATTTTGAAAATTGTTAAATAAAAAGTAACCTGTTTTGTTAATAAAAAAATGATGTATTTATATATTGGTTATTCCTAAATGTTATAATTTTAGAGTCTCTTAACACTTTGGACAGTATTCTAAATGAACAGTCAGTGACTAAAGATACAGTTAGCACTGGAGAAGTTGTTCCTTCGGCTCCTAAGTTTGAAACTGATTATATTCAATTTATGGACAACAATCAAATGCTACTTACTTGTCGAGAGTGTGCTAAAATGTTTACCACATTGGAGGTAAATATTCTTTATTATATTTATGGATGTTTTGATACAAATTATCATCTTTAAGTAATTGTTATAAAATGGTCTAGTATATTTACAAAAAAATGTTTTTAAATTTTGGTGCTTAGATTAAACAAACATGTCATATTGCAATGAACATTTTTTTTCTAACTTCCATTTTTCAAAATATTTTTCTTTTTGATGTGATTAGACAAATATGACATTTTTCAATATCCTTATTAGTCTCTTTTGCTATTAAATTGCCATTATTTTTTATCTTCAATTTAACTAGTTTGAGCAAAACCTAATTCTTTCTAATAAAATTTATATATCCCACAATACTTTATTATTTTTTACTATTTGACTGCTTAAATTTTATTTTTTCTAGTTTTTTTTGTTTTTTTTTTTTGGAACCATTTTAGTAGGAATATATTTACTTATAAATTGATTGTTTATACCTCTTTGTATCAATATTGTCTTCAATGGAAACCTCTTAGGTTGGTTTTTATTTAAATACTTCTTAATTTAAGGGTCTTCGTTGTCATAAACGTATCCATACTGGTGGTATGTACAAATGCAAACAATGCGACAAAGAATACACGAGGCTTAATCATCTACAAAGGCATGAACAGTCCCACAACAGAAGAAAAGTGCATGTGTGCAGAATATGCAGTAAAACATTGACAAGAATGGAACATTTGAAACGCCACTTGGTCACCCATCTCAGGGAGAAGCCATTTTCCTGTAAAACTTGTAATAGGGGCTTCAATAGAATTGAGCATTTGCATAATCATGCTCCTAGGTGCAAAGGTATAAAAAACATTTTCTATAGTTCATAATCTTTTAATGACCATCAAGATACTTTAAATTATCTCTATTCTAAATGGAAACAAAAATAAATAAATACAAATACTTAAGTAATTTTATCAATATAAAATAATAAAAATCTTCACAATTTTTGTTTGTTTTAAATAATAAAAAAATGATTCATACATACTTTTTAATTTATTATTTTTACCAATCATGTTATGTACCTAATAAAACTATTTGAAGTTCCATTTCACTTAAAAATATGGAGTCACTGAAAATGTAGCAAAAAAATAAACCAATTATTATTCTTTAATATTGTTTTTAGAACATTTGTATATTAAATATTTATTATTCTCAGGTGATACTGTTTATCCTTGCGATATTTGTAACAAAGCTTTCAACCGAGAAGACAGTCTTGAAGTTCACAAAAAAATGCATGACAATCAAGCTCCAAAATTGCCTACCATTGAAAATTTGGACAACATTGAAGATCACTACTATCAAATTGATCAAGATAATACTACAGTCGACTTTTCTGATCATTCTGATGTTGATGATTGCTTTGAACCTCAAGTTGAGGTTACAGAAACAGAAGATGATAAACTCAAAGTAAGTGAACAAACTGGAATGGCAAAATAAAGAATAAAATCTGATAATATTTTTGTTCAAGTCAGTATCTTAGAGGTAAACCGCACTAGTCAACATTCAGTAAAGCAGATTGAATGTGCTCCATAATTACATATATATTAATTATATTTTGACAAGCAATGCAGTAATGCTCAATTATTGTCACAATATTTATGTACTGTACTAATCTAACCAATAAAATTTCTTACCTTTTTTCTATTTGCATAAATTGTTGGTTTTTATGACAGTGTTATAACTTCCAACATTCCTCTATGAATAATACTGCATCCTAAGTTTATTAAATATGATATTACATTTTTTGGCTAATTTTTAATGTGATCACTAATTCATAGTGTAGTATAACCCTGGAAAGATCTCAATGAGTTGAGTTTAAAAATATAACTTTTATAAAACTGCATTATGTCGACATAGTGTAGTTTACCTCCAAGGTACTGAAGTTGTACTGTTTTTATTTTTTATCAGTGATGTCGTTTTTGCTGATGATTTGAAGATTATAAATCGATTTATTAGGAATACTGGTCTGATATGCAATAACACTTTTTTCTTTCCCCTTAAAGCTCCTTGCTGTCGCCCTAATTCTTACATTATTGATGTATCTATATAAAATTTATCAAAGTTGATCCTCCTGAAATCATGATATACAACATTTTTAATGTTTCTATTAGAACTACAAGACATTATTTCCTTTTTTTGCACTCCTTGCCATTACAAATTACAGATACAATTCACCAGTTACCAGAATATTACAAGAAGCTTTTATATTTTATTAGAAACTTTCCTAATTTTAATTTTAAATGTCAAATATACAATTTGTTTTAATAATAACAATATCTGAATGTGTTTTGTTCTAGTTATTGATTAAACATATTTGCTTTACTTCACTTGGTTTTATATAAGTACTGATTTTATATTTATAAAATAAATAGTTGCAAAATATTAATTTTTTTATATACAGGGTGTCCGAAATATAATCTTTAGGTATTTTAGTGAATGGTCTCCACTTAATACAAAATTGGAGCTAGGATTCTTTTTCTCTAAGGTACAGATCTATCTTTTATTTGAATAAAAATTAATTTTGCTGTTTGTTGGTAAGCGTATCACTTGAGAACGACTGGACTAGGCTATTTTTTTTTAATATTTCTAATAGTCCGGGAAAGAAAAATTGCCCAGAAAATTAAAAAATTTGGGAAAAATATGCTTATTTATTTCCATGAGATTTTTTTGAACTCAAGACCATTACTCAAGAAATAATTAATCTATGTATATTCGTAATTCTTTTTTTGTTTCATTCCTTATGGTCCTGAAAAAGTTCGGGACAATTAGGTACAAAAGAAAGCCTGAAAACTCGGACAAACTGAAAAAAATCATAATTTTTTATGCACTCTGAATTATAACTGACATATTTGGTTAATTATTTTTTTGTTTTGTTCTTTTTGCTTTTGTGATGGAGAAAAATCGAAAAAGTATGCCAGTCTAAATTAAAATTATCTTTGGTTTGTACTTTTGTGTTGTTTCATGTCCAACAACTGTAGTTGAAGGGTCAATATCCCACAATCGCATACACACTTCACATACGAGGGTGAATCACTATGATCCACGCCTGATCTATTTCTAAGTGGTAGTAAGTTAACTGACTTTTGTAGATCATATCTACAAAATATCAACTTTGTATCTCAAAGTGTTGTTGTTTTGTGGCTAATTCTTGAACTGTGTGTTGTGATTGTTCATAAAAATGGACCCTGCAGAATAAAGAGCCATAATAAAATACTTTTAAAAAAAGGCATGACGCCAACTTGAATTCATTAAGATATTGTGGCAATTATTGTGGGGAGTCTGCAGTTTCTTATGACATAGTCAGACACTGGTGTCGAGATTTTAAATGCAGAAGATCATCCTGTGAAAACCTGCATGCTGGTGGTCTTCACAGTAACAACAGACAAAAACATTAAAAAGGTACACAATATCGTACTACAAGACCGACGATTACGCATCAGGTACATTGTGGAAGATTCTAGCTTATCATATTATGTGGTGCACAACATACTGAATAAAGAATTAGCTATGAAAAAGATGAGTGCAAGATGAGTACCCTGAATGTTAACTGTTGATTAAAAAAGAAATCAGGTGTTGACTTGTGAGTGACTTTTAGAAAGGTAACAAGCAAACAAAGAGAACTTTTTTAGTCGGTATGTTAGCATGTCAAGGTTTTACTGTCTGTGTTTTATTATTCACAATTGATTTCTAAATTGAGAGATGCTCTGAAAGAGAAACGCTGAGGAAAGTTCGGGAACGCTATGGTGTTCCATCAGGATAATGCTCCCAGCCATACATCTTGTATTGTTATGGCTGCTATACACTAAGCAGGCTTTGAATTAGTTGAGCACCTACCATATTCGCCAGATTTCGCCCCCTGTGATTATAGGATGTTCCCCAAATTAAAATAAAAACTTTTTCAAGTAATGATGAACTGATTCAAGCTGTAGAAAGGCGATTTGCAGAGGGCGGACAAACATTTTTGCGAGGAGGCTGTTGAGATGTTACAGCATCGCACCGATGGACCAAGTGTATTAGTGTAGAGGGAGATTGTCGAAAAATTAAAAATATAATGCCACTGTAGTTTTACTATAAGCGGGTCAGAGGTAGTTTATACAAATATGTCTCAACATATTTGTTAAAATTATATAAAAAAAGATGAAAACAGTTTCATTTCATATATAAACAAATGTGAGTCATCTGTAAATATGTATAAATATAAATAAGTAATTCCAACGAGTGTATTAAGTGGCGCTGCAAGCTTAAGTTCGGATCCCTATATTACCACATAAAATAATTAAAATGTCTCAAAACTTATGAAATGATCGGCCCTAATTTACTGACTTTCAGCAGCTGATTTTTTTATCAAAAATGCCTAATGTAAAGCGGCTATAACTGTTAATTAGGTAACGTAGCCTAACCTCAAAACCTTTCATATGTCACATGATCTGCTCAATATCCACCCATGATATTTACCTCATATACACACCACACAAAAATTATCGCATCACTAATAGTTTTCAAAAATTTGGAGTTTTTTTTTTTGAACCGTTTGATTGATTTGGATATTCTTTTTTTGGAAGATAAGTTGATTCTTCAGGAATAGTAATCTTTTTGATTCTTTAAATAAAATTTAATTTTAGAGTGTATACCGGATGTTACAATAATATAGGTTTTTGGTTGGAAATTTCGTAACACCCTGTGGAGTGTACCAGCAATAATAGCATGTTATAATTAATAGCCTACTTTAGCCTCATTTTTCGCAAAATTTTATTTTTTTGATTGTTTTATTCTCTCTGTTATTAGAGGAGAAATACAGTTTTTTAGCACTGCCTGTTTTTATAAAAATACATTGCAAACATTTTAGTGATGTGATAATTTTTGTGGGGTGTATATAATATCGTCTGTAATTACATGTATTCCTGAGACAATATATTTGTTTTTTTAAGGTGGTTGCTGAAATTTCAAATCAAGATCAAGATCCTGAAGAAGAAAGTTTACACAGCGATGGAGATCTTGATAATGACGATACTGGTTCTATAGCAGGTGGTGATATAGATAATGACAGTGATTTGGATGATATTGACAAAGACATTGATGATAATGAGCCAGAGAGTTCTGAAGAATTAGAAAATAAACAGCTGCCCATTGGACACGAAATAACTGATGAAGAAAAACCAGATGTAAAAGTAGAAGGACCAAAATTGCAAGACCAGGAAGATGAATATTTGAAAGACGTCATCGCCGAGGTTGAAGCTGATGGTAATTTTATAGCTTGTTATATAAATTAAAGTTTTTTAAAGAATCATTTTCAGAGGATGATGATTCAGACAAGGATAGCGCCGATTCTGATTACATGCCTAAAAAAACGATTGTTAAGGTCAAACGTGGACGGGGTAGACCACGTAAAAATCCTGATGAACCTCCTAAAATTAAAAAACTTAAAATTTCAAAAACTCCTGGAAAGAGAGGCCGCAAACCAGGCTCAAAGAATAAAGTTAAAGAGCCCGGAGAGATATCTGTCAAAAGGGAGAGAGATGATGATGATTATGGAGAATTTCCATGTCCTATTTGTAATGAGATGTTCCATAGTATTCTTAAGTTGGACAAGCACGCTAGGATGAAACATGAGGGAGAAAAGGTAATATTTTTAACAAAAACAAAAAAACTTTCAGATAATACATTTTTGAAACCACTGACGGTTTAAAACTTACTTGCTACCTTTTATTTTAACAGAGGAGTGTATTGTTCAGTGTTGGCCCACATGAGAATTCAGAGTATGGAATCTCGTGTATAGTTTATTATACAGTTTAGGTTAAATGGAGTAAAGGTTACCTAATAAGTTTTTTTTAAGTTGTTTATTTTAATGACTTCTAAACATTAAAAGTCTAAAGAGAAGTACCAACGTTTGAAAAACCCTGCATAATTCCATAGCAATGAAACATTGTGTTGATTAATAATTTTCAAGTATTTAGGAATCCATTTAAAATAAAATCTGAAAACCATTTTGTACTAGTATATTTGGGATCTGTTTGTGTACACCATACTACAGCCCCCTAAATAGACAAATTTTGAGCCCATTTGACCTGAACTGTATATCCAACCGTTAACAAGACCCTAAGCTCTGCATTATTATGTTTTGTTTTACTTACGAAATTACCTATTTCGTTTTTTATATGTCAAAAAATATTCGATTCAGTTGAATCTGTAAAGTACTCATTTGATTCTTTAAAGTCGCTTTTACTTGAGTTTCGCAAAGTATCTTTTTATTTACAAAAAAAAAGTTCTCATTAAACTATCTGTCTTCAGATTCACAAATGCAATGTGTGTAACAAAGAATTTGCCCGTATTAATCACCTAAAGAGACACGTCACGTCTCATTCAACTATCAAACCGTTCCGTTGTACGGTATGTACAAAGAGCTTTAATAGGCGCGACCACCTTAATCAGCATCAGAAATTACACGACAGACAGAACGATCATGAATGTGACATATGTCAAAAACCATTCTCTAGAGCCGATCACCTTGCTAAACACAAGGCCTCGAAGCATGGCATAGGAGAGCGAATTTCGGTAAGTGGAAATTCTGTCTTTAAACACCAATAGTATATGGGGTGTCCTAGAAAATAATGCGTTCCTTAAAGACATAGGACATTCGTTGAAGAAGTGAAATCGCGTATCTATTTTTTTTGAAAATGGGTCGTACTTTTGTGTGGAAAAATACTAAATAGGTATGTAACCTTTCTGATGCATTGTTTATACTTGTATACTATAAACCACTTAAAATAATGTTTTTTCGTTCCTCCTGAAACTTTTTACATGCCATTTAATGAGATTTCGCTACTTCAGCGTTGTTGCCAGTTGTTTTAAAGTTGCAATTTTGATTTGTTCTCTATATTTTACTCTAAATACCAACACATATTATTGCAAGAAAGGACGGCATTATTTTCGGAGACACCCAGTAATTCTTATTAATTATTTAAGCTTTGTTCAATATTTAATCAATTATTGCATTTTAAGTGAGAGTGAGAATTAATAAATAATTCACTAAAATTAATTGGAAAACTCACCCTGTAGGGAACACTTTAGGACATACCTTCATTTGAAATTTGAAAATAGATAGAACATAATGGAAATGGAATTTGTAACGCTAAAAAAAAATGGTTTGATGGACACCCAAACTTTTTGAATATGTTTTAGATGATCGGTGAAAAGAAGTATGAATGCCCGTTGTGCCACAAGTTCTTCACCACGGAAAAATACCGGGACGTTCATGTGGCCGGTCATAACGGCACTAAAGAATATTCCTGCAAGGTGTGCGAGAAGACGTTCCTGTCGAAATCTCATCTAACGGAACACATGAAATTCCATAATGAACATTCCAAAAAGTTCCTTTGCTCCGAATGTGGACAAAGATTTATTAGAAATGATTATTTGGTCATCCATATGAGAAGACATAGGGGCGAAAAGCCATTCAAGTGCAAATACTGTGGAAAAGGTTTGTTAAAATAACTATAACTAATATTTATAAGATGTTTCTCTGATTTTCAGGTATTCTGCTAATGTTATTAATCAAACACGTGTTTAAATTATTTAATATTTGTGGCTTTGTTGTAAAAAAGTATTGTTCTTAAGTTGGAACTATATGCAATTTTTTTCTGACCAACTTTTCTTTATAAAGTTAATATTTTTTGACAAACCTCGTATATGACTGGAAAAATCTTTTATTTGATGTTACATTTTAGGTTTTAGACCATCCAGAATTTTTAATGTTTTTCTTAAAATTAATAAAAGTGTTCTATATGATTCCTGCTTAAGAAGACATATGGCATGAATAAAAATTTGATCCAAATCCAAAAATATTCTCAACTAAACCAAATTAGAATTAAACATTTATTTATTGTGATTTGTAATGTGAAAAACATTTAACATCGTTGTATCTAATGAGCTGAATTAATTTATAGTGTTTTCCATTTAATTTGTTTAGGTTTCCCAAGAACAACTGATCTTACCGTTCACGAGAGATACCACACTGGTGAAAAGACGCATTTGTGCACTATTTGCGGAAGAGGTTTTGGAAGGTAACTGTCTTAAACATCAAACTATTACATTATTTCTTATTCGTGTATGTTTTAGGGCGTACAATTTGACGGTGCACATGAGAACTCACACTGGAGAAAAACCATATCAGTGCACTTATTGTGACGCCGCTTTCGCTCAAGGCAACGACTTGAAGGCCCACGTCAGAAGACACACTGGAGAACGGTTTCAATGTGAATTGTGCACTGAAAGTTTCCTTATGGGCTATTTATTGACGCAACACAAACGGACTGTTCACGGTAAGTTGCAAATAGATTTCTGTTAACCAAAATCAAACAGTTAATTTTGTAAAAGATGGTCACCAAGTTTTACTAAGAAAATTGAAGTTCAAATGAATTCAATGTTTGTGTAGGAGTCCCTAAGGATCACAATGTGTAGTACTCTCTGTTTACTTTTTATATGATTTGTAAATGATCACCATGCTGCAATTTTTTGTAAAATTTTATTTATTGTCTATGTTAAAAATTTGGTTTGTTTTTTTAACTTTGGTGCTAGAGGGAAGCAGCTCCATTTTTTTTTCAAACTAAGATTTATTGCCAAGAAATAAGGTGTAGGGCATATGTAAATATGCCACCCTTTTGATTAGAATGTTTTTTTGTTAAAAAAAAGCGACAATATTTAAAAAACTTATCAAAAATGAAACAATGTCCTCTCAAATGATACTTTAGGAAGGAGGTTTTAAGTTCAGAATGTTTTCAAACGATTTAGAGAATTGAGTGTCCAGTGAAATTGCTTTCAAATTATCTAATTTTATATTAGTTTCTACTTCTAATGCAATGTTTCGATATATTCTTGCAGGATTGAACGTTGTAAGCAACATCAGAAGGTTGCAACCTGTCCATAAACAGGAGAATCCGGACGAGCCACCACCAATTACAATACCCCTACCAAAACCTGTCATTCCAGACAATGTTATGTTTAATGCCTTACATGCGAACGCTCTACATGCTAATGCTCTCCATGCTAATGCTCTGCACGCTAACGCCCTTCATGCGCAGTTGGCCGTTGCGCAGCTCCATTTAGCTAGAGATTAAGCAGTTGGATGTATTATAATAACCGGTAAGTGTAATATAACCTTAGATAATATGTTAGAAGGATGATTCATAACTAAGTTACTGTCCATCAACGTATTAACCTACATGCATTTCAATAACACCCGGGTATTACTGTCTAAACATTTTCATCAGCTTATTTCAGTATTGAAGGTATTTTTTAAATAATTCGTCAAAATATATTTGCACAGTACACTCTAGAAAATATTCCTATCCTTTCTAATTTAATTTTATTAATTTCAGATACACTTGCCTTTGTAAATACCACATGGTCACATAAGTTTACATGCATCAGTAAGGAACAATAACGGTAATCTCCTCATATACTATTATAAAAATAATATGTAATATAATAGCTAGTAGTAACTCATAGGTACTAATCACATAGATCTATGTGTTTATTTTATTAATATTTCATGAGAGAAGCTTGTGGTCTTGAAATCTCACTTTGTCTTTCATCTGTTTATATTTTCACCTTTAGTTCATAGTAATTTATAAATGATAAATGGTTACAAAAGATTTTTGAACTGATGTTTCATTATAGAGAGTAATATTTTATAGGACTGTCCCGAGATTATTGAAAACTACAGATTCATAAATATGTATTAATTCCACCCTGTAATTCTATAATTTTATGTACCTCTAAATAATTTCCAGCTAGACATATCCACAGATACATAATTGTTTTTTATTATATACAACTAGTTGCATACAGTTTGCACAGTGCATTAATTTGGTGCAATTTATGGCCTATATTTAAATAGTAGTTAATTTAAGGGCTTGTAGGACCCTATGCAAATCCTCGTGATATTAGCATCGTGTCCATTGATCCGAACCGCTTAAGATCTACAAATTTTGAAATATTGTTTTCATATTTTTAAATTATTGTAAAGTTTTATCTTTTTTAAAATTATGACTGAGAATATAATTTATTTTTTTTTCTTCAAATTAATAAAGACCTTCCTAACTGGTGTATTTTGATGAAATCAAAATAATAATTGTATTGAAAAAATATTTATTTGAAAAAAGTCAAACAAATAGCTTTAAAATATATTTTGTTAGTTTTTTTTTATGTAAAATATCTGTAATAAAAAATAGTATTGAGTTTTTCATGAATTTTTATGCTTTACAAGCTTTGTTACTGACAATTAATTAATTATGCACCAAGAGGACACGGTATGGTTTTAAATTAAAAATAACGACTTTAATTATCAATTTTATTTATTTATATTTCCATTTCTGGTTAGTAAAAAAAATACACATCGATTAATTAACCACCAGTTAGAAATTAGCGTTTAATAATAACTAGTTTGTTATAATAGTGTTAGCTCTACTGGAAAAATATTTAGCTTTCATTTTATGGTATGCTATATTTATGGTAAGTTTTCTATGTACATAGTTTATTTTGTTAGATGATCATATTAATAAATTAATAATTTTTTTTATTTGTAAAAAGTGTTTTGTCAATAAAGTGTCTTTATTGGGAATTTTATATTTATTTGTGCTTCCATGCCCTTATTACAGGTGGCAGGACGAAAAAATCCGTTGGTTGTCGTTAAAACATGGCATTTTGTTTTAAAAGTTTCCTGTCATTTTTGCATGACTATCATTCAGAAAATATCTGACTTATGTTAGTCGTTAATAACAATATTTTCAAAAATCGTGCAGTAATCCATTTTTTCTAATGTATGTCATAGAAAATGACAGTTTTTACCTAAAATCTGGGTCCCTTCCAATAGTCCAAGTCTGGGGGGACAGGTACCTAATTTGCATATTATAAATAATAGCTCTGGGCTCTGATATGTTATTTCTTACCTTGAAAATTCTGCGACTACTAGAAAATACTGAAAATAAAATGAAACAACTGTGATTAATGCATATTTTCTTTATTCAGACAGATATGTTTTTAAAGACTTCACAAATCCATTTGTTTTCGCATTTAACTGAACTAGCAATACATTTTATCAATAAATCTTAGCGGGTATATAAACATGTCAACCATAGGTAAAAAGCTTAGGGTATAGGTGAAAGCAAAGAGTAATCCAACATAAAAGAAAAAAATTCAAAAGATTTTTTTACAATTATTAATAAGTATTTAAGACCGTGGTTTAGTAGTTAGTGCATTAAATCAAAATAATAGCTGCTGCGCCATCTCCTGAAGACAATGTCAAGCAATATTGGTGGAAAAAGATTCCATGTATCCGAACATCGGTCATAATTAACCACTGTCAAATTTGACTTTTCATTTTTTGTCTTTAAAAAGTAAATTTATTCTGTTTAGGGCCGAATTATTAATCTTATGGTAAAAGTTAATGTTAGTTAACAGCAGGATACATTTTAACCTCATGTTACAGGTTATTAACACAATGTTAACCCACTCATACTTAACAAGTGATGTACAACATGACAATGTTGGTTATTTATTATAAAATAAATGTTGAACTGCGTTTTTAGATAGTCTAAACCTATTCACAAAATCATAATCCTAAAAATTAAAATGATCCAGGTCTTTGATGTAAAAATTCTAGGTCTTTTATCATTCATTTCTTTATTTTTACAATGCCAGCTGTCATTTTATACTATAGCTATTCGTACAGGCTGTTTATTATCTGACAATAAGAGCTTGGTTATCCTAAAAATAAATCAACAGGAGATTCAAAATTGAATTTTTGTTTTAGCAGGAGGATAACCTTTACTGTCATTTTACCAGGAGATTAATAATTCTGGCCTTAGAATAAAGTTTGTTCTGTTTAGAATAGAAAAAGTTTGTTGTTTGAATAAAGTCAATTTATTAGTAGTTTTCCGCTTTTTTGAAGGATGTAAATCTTATTTCGAATACTGAAGGACCTTCAACTCAAGTGAGTACTACTCTATACAAGAAATACTGCACAGAGTGGTGAGACGAAAATGTAGCAGTCATTATCAGGAACTGCCTCGACATCTTAGACATTACAGGGGACATCAACTGTAATACATCATTTCCCTCCCCCTTCGTAACTATAACCAATACAATTTAAATAGCGAAAGTAACAATATCATTACACATATCATTGAAAAGGTAATTTTATGGATCGCAACGTCGCAAACTATCGATGCATAAAATACTATACGTGACGTCCATGACGTATATTATGAATGGAACAAGGTTATTTTAAATTGCGGTGGTGTCACGTTTAACGCTTTTAAAATCCTTGCATTTATTTGCAGGAATGATAATGATGTTTGCCATAGTTTATCTTAGTATTTGCAAAGTTGTTATTTAGCAAGCATATGTATGTAAAAACGATAGGTACAAAAATGCCCTGCATAATTGTGTAAAATAGATGCTGCTAAAATATAAAGTCTGCTGAAAGAAGTTAAAATAGTTTAATCTACTTTGTACACATGTTATACGTTTTTTGTTTTGTTACAAACATTTTATTCAGAGACTTACTATTAGAAATGTTTTGAGAAATATTGCAACATCTCTGCCTACAATGCGTCGGAGATACTGCACTAGGTACGAAAATGAATTGGTGGGGACGCTTGATGTGTCGCAATATATCTCGAAACTATTCTAATTAATAAAAATTGTTACTATTAGTGAGCTATAGGTAAAAACTATTTTTAAATATGAAAGGGATAAACTACACATCCTGGCAACTGCGCACCAGTCAACGCATGTCGGATCATTTACGAAATAGCTACACGCTACGTTTCTTTGTAATGCATGACCGGGTTTTAAAAGTAAATAGAGGAGCTTTGGTACTTATCTATTAAAAATTTATTAGGACAAAAAAAAGAAAAAAAAAAGACATTACAAATATCTTGCTTTTAAAACAAAGACATTTCAAATGTTAATAAATGATATTAACGTGAAGGTATTTTAGCGACTTTCCGGTACTTTACGCCACATAATTGTGATTTTTAGGTAAAAATAGTCATTTGGTGGTGTTACGTAACATTTTACTGGGGGGGGGGGGGGGGGTGTACAGAAAACGGTACGGCGCGTTACATGCGGGGGAGGGGAGGTTAAAAATCTCAAAAAATTGCGTTACGTAATACTTGAACGCTCCCTAATACACGCAGAGTAGTTTTGTAATACCAACGCATAAAACCACACTATTTGAAAAAGGATGCTATTTTAAATGCATACAATTTTATAATATATTTCCACGCTATATAAAAAATATTAAAAATGTAGGCATATTTAAGTCAACCATTAGAAATATCTCAATTGATATTGAGCCCTACTCACTAGATGATGTTACAATCTTAAATATTTCAAATTCATGTAATAAGTTAAGGATCCTTTTTAGCAATTTAGTTTTTTTCTTCTTTTTCTACCTATCAGTATGAATTTTCTGTGGTGGTAAACAGTATGATTGATGTAATTACCAATTGCAAATTATGGCACTATGAGTTTTGCTAGGTTTTCCTCTAGTCTTGGTAAATACGCCATTCTTACTCGGTAAGTCGACCTAGCTCGCACATTAATAATTAATTATTAATAACAATACTACATCTTGCAGTTGATATTTTTGCATCATCTATTTTAATTTTTAGCTTTATCTTTATGTAATATTTAGTTTTGGATACAACGTGTACAACGCAGTACACTTTGTATACTGTCCCTAGTACAAATAAAAGAATTTTAATTATTTGAATTTTAAAAAATGTATACGTTCGTTAGCGTTATTTTCTCATTAAAACTTTTTAGAAATAAAAAAAAAAAAAACGCTTGAAAATTGCTATCTTGAGAAAAAAGTGTTGACTATAAAGAATAAAGTCAAAGATTGCATTCCGCTAGTTTCTTTTTAACAAAATAAAAAACTAATAAAACTTCAATGCATATTTAAATCTATTTTTGAAACGAAAAAGACCCATTTTACCTTTTACGTTGAATCACTCTTTTCATTTAATTTTACAAAATGGGTTGTTTTTATATAACAAAAACATAGGGGTCATAGCATTAATACTTTCTTTTAGATTTGAGCAAAACGTTATGACAAAGAAAATGTCAAAGTTAGATATGATGATGGATTGACACCATTAACATTTAATTTTTTTTCCGTTAGCTTTGAACCTTAAAAAAACATGCAGTACCCATTTTAGTCAAAATGTTTCAAACATATGTTGAAACTTTAATAAATTTGTAACAATTGATGAAGGTTATTAAAGTTATATTAATATCTGCCATTGAAATTTTGAAGTAGTGCACAAATCACAAGATTTTGTTTTAATTCATTCTAGATATTTCTGAAATAGTCATAGTAATGTAGAAGACAAAAAGTTACATTTTTCAATTAAAAAGATAAAAAATATAACAAAAATTGCAAGTGCATTCATTGGCCAATCTACGTATATAGGTTATGATATAATCATATGGATACTACATGTCTTTAAAATAGTTAAAAAAAATTGTATCAGATATTTATTATAAAATATATATTATACAGTAAACACATAAAGGTTGGAACACATTCGATAAAATATTTGTTGGTCAAATAAAAAATTAATGCTCAGACAGGATAATTTTCGTTTTTTAGATACGCATATTTTTATGACGTCATTAGCAGTTTTTTAAATAGCACCACCATTTTTTGACAGTATTTACAATTTAAAAGAATACATATTTTTTACACCAAATTTTGTTGTCTGTTACCACGGGTTCCTATGTTGTAGAACCCACCATAAATAAAAAGTTGTAATTGTATAAAAATTTAATTCCTGAGAAGAGACAAGACATGTCTATCAAAATATAAATCAACAATAATAAATAACTATGTAATGAAATAATAAATACATTTACAAGTATTAGAAATAAAAAATTTAAAAAATCGACTTCAAAAACGTGCAGATGCCATCACCACATCTTAACCAAATTTATATGGGACCTCCCTTGAGGTACCCCCTTACTAACAAAAAAAGAATCATATAAATCGGACAAGGTGGTAAAGCATTATCACTAAACATACATAACAAATGAAGTCTTTGAGGATTTTCTCATGGACCCAATTATTATATTTATATGGGACCACCCCTGAGATACCTCCTTTCTAACAAGAAAAGAATCATTGAAATCGGACACCGTGTTAAAGAATTATCGCTGAACATACATAAAAAAAAATATTGCGACGATTTGAGAACCTCCGCCTTTTTTGAAATCGGTTAAAAAATAATAAAATCATGTAAATTGCAAGCTTTATCTCTTGATACTAAAATTCTTGCAAAACGTTGAATAACATTTTTTAAACTTTTTTATTTAAAAAATATTGTGCTGCAAAATACACAAAATTTGTTGTCTATATGCAAAAATGTACACTTTTAAATGGTACTATCAAAAAATGGTGGTACCATTTATAAAACTGACAAAACTATAACTCAAAAAGTGAAGATGTCATCGAAAATATGCATGTACAAAAATATACGCAGCTAA